TTTTCTCGATCCAATATGATTTTTTCTGGGGAGAGGTTGTAGGCCATGATAATGCTAGGATATAAAGATGCAAAATCCAGACCTGTTACAGGTCTTTCTGTCATGATACCTTTTTTAGGTGGAAATATATACGCACCAGGATATTTCCCTTTTTCTATGTCTTCAGGAAGTTTTGTACTAATTACCATATCTCGTTTGATAGCACATGCGCTGAGAAGGTTCCGTACCTTCATTCTATTTGCACGATAATATGTGTCGAAAAGAGAAACATAAGCTATGGAGACAACTTCTCTATAATCATTTATTATACTTTGGTTTACCAAAAGCTCTTGACAGTGCAGTGTGTTTATAATACAGTATTGTGCTACTTTACGCATATTTCTCGTGGTTGACGAAGAGGGGCTTTTTTTCGTTTCTGAATAGATTTTCCACATTTTATCGTATGGCATATCAGCCTTACTGTCAAAACTGAATTTTGTAGGAAGAATTTCCTTTTTGACTTCAGAATGAGAAAAATGTTTTTTGAGGCATACTCAGACATCAATCAGTATGCAACCTGGCAGTTTAAGGAAGCTAGAAGTAAAATAATCTTCTGCATTAATTTTGATCCTAATTGGACTGCTCATATATTCTTTCTCCTCCAGATCCTTTTCACCTTCCTTGGGAGTCTTAACAGGATGCTTTTTCACAAAATCATTTTCAGATTTTGCTTTTATCTTTCCACGGTATTTCCACTTTAGAATTTCTTCCTTTGTTTCGAACTTTCCTGTCATTCGCTCTCACATCCATTCGAGTATGTTGAGATGATATGCTCTTTCCATAATTAAACACCAATCATAGTCTGAATCGTTAAAACCAACATGGATATCAGGAGTAAATGCTCGCCAGCAGAAAGCGAAAGCTTTTAGTAGATTTACTTGATTTCTGCAAATGATTGTGATCTAGTGTGGGTCTGATTCTATTTCAACATCGACAAGACATATTTGCTTTAGTGGTTTTGGATCATCTTTCTAATGCAATGTTATAGAAATCATAAAAACATTATTATTCAGATCAAGGACTTCAGCAAATTCACTCAATTCTTGTGATTGCGTCTCTATATCCCAAGTGAGAATAAGAGTACGATCTCATAAGAGAGCTGAAATTGAAAATCGGTCGCTTATTGTTGTAAGATCTTCTAATAGACAGAAATCTTTTATAGATATGTAGAATTCATGCGGACAAAGCGGGCTGGTCCCTTTGTCTTGCTTGTAAATATATTTGTTTATTGTAGACCATCCAGAGAGTTGAATACCATTCTCTCAGACTACCTTACGATGAAATGAGTATAAATCATCTGAAGCAGTTTCAAAATTATTTTTTTGTATAGCTTGGATGGCTTTCTTTCTCTCTCCAGTACCATTCGTATAAATTCATAAATATGACTTTTTTTCAGAATGATAACCCTGAAAAGGGAATGCTTTAATGTGTTCTATTTTATATGATTTCGCAATACCAGAGAGAATTTTGCTCACCTTTTATTCGCATTTATCTGAAGTCTCTCCGTCTGATACGAGAATGTCAAAGAAAACCTGATATCTATAAGAGTTACCAATGCCTTTTGGCTGTTAATAAGACGATCATAAAGACACAATACATAATGGTATGTTCTATTTATCCTTTCTGTTGATCCTTCATTCTCAATGACCATGAATGGAATACTTTGTTATTTATATAAAGCATTCTCGAGTATTAAAGTTAATCTCTCATCATTTCCAGCAACTATATCATCTAGTGTTGAAAAGCCTAACAAGTATTTTTTAGCGAAATAACGAATTACTTGGGCTTCCATTTTATCTTTTTCAGCTTCTGGGTGAAAAAGCGGGGCGGTGGCGTTGAGGAACTCAGATTAGATCATTTTTTAGATAACTTTTGAAAGGTATACTATATCCTAAACTCAGGATATATTGTCCTGGGAAAAAGGTTTAAATAAAAAATAATTATAGTAATTTAAGAGATACCTAATAAGAGCTGAATTTATCTGCCAATATCTTTCTAACAAAGGAAATGTATGCGGACGAGCTTGTAACTGACAAGAAGGATGCAAAATTCATTGGAAAGACGTCAGTGAAACTCTTGCAAACAATGTGGGAAACCAACTACCTCAATCTATAGTATGTGTAATTTACATGTAGATAAGTATTATTCGAAAA